ACGGCTGCAAAGACACCTTCACATCTGCGCTATAAATACCATGCACTCTCAAAACCTAGTAGGCCGGAGCTCTAAATCATGACTCCACGCCTCGTAGCTTTTTTCAGTTGGGTTGCTATACATTCACTTTCTTCATCAAAAATGACAGAAACGCAATTTTTTACCAATAAGCGTGTTTCATGACATCAGTAGCCATCTCTATTAATTTGTCGTCACTGACGGACATATTCTCTGTAACAATTGCGTTCCTTACATGTTAACGCCGTAAACAAAATTCACCTTTTAAGTTTTGTTCTCGAGTAAAAAAGCGACTCTAGTAATTTTAAGAGATTGAAGTGCTACCGCTAGCACAGATTGGGTGAGTACTGAAAATGATGCGAACTGCATAGGATTATAATTTTGTGTTTACTATTTACTGTTCTCGCATAGACTATCATCGCGTTATTCCAACAAACATTTCATTTTTACGGTCTACGAAAAGAATAAGCCTAGAGGAGAAAACAGTGATCTTCTAGGAGTAGGAGGATAAGTCAAAGATGGTAAATTTGCGAAAAGCAGTTCTCCAGCTGGAACATTTCCTATAACATAAGTAATCAATGAACACTTCACTTAACTTTATAAAAACTAACTCTCTCATTACGGCTATGCAAAACACCATAAGCGCTCGTTAATTTCAAAAAACCATCCGTTTCAAATTCCAAGCAACTCATATGCTTCTACTGTATTCTCTTATCTCTTACCAAATTCCAAAAAAAAAAGGACTTCCTATAGGAAATTTCTCATGTTATGAAGCAAGATTTTTATCCTCACATGGTTACCTAGCAATCTTTCTGTGTGGCAAACAAGAGTGTAAGAACCCTCCAAAAAGTGATGCCTGGTAGAATTGGCAGTAAGCAGCAATATTCTCTTCTATCTCTCGTCAAGACATGTTGAGGTGGCCTAATTTATTTGAAGTTGGAATCAGTTAGCATTTATGGCTCTGTCTATGGTGTACTTTGCGTACAGGAGTAGAATAAAACTGAAACGGACATCTAGCTCACAAGAAAGTTCCCTTTTTAATGCAACCATAATCGAAAAATTGTAAAATAAACAATGTCTTCATTCTCTTTCCACTTAATGAATGACTGTTAAAAAACGGAGATACCTTTAGAATATAAAAAAACAGAAGAACACTTTTATTCTTTACCTCGTCAAGTCAAATAGGGGCGGAATGATTGTCTTTGATCTTTGAAAAATACAGTGTCTTTGATCTTTGGAAATTCATAGTAGAAGAACATGATGATACCAATAAATGATTGAAATGTTACCGCAAAAACTAAAAGTAAACTACCTCATGAGCTATACAGTAATGAAATCTGACGAAATACAACTACTACTAGTTTGCTTAGAACGTATTGTCTTTTCAATCCTGCATAGCTATTAACGCTGCCAATCTTCCAGGTGCACCAGTCACACCTCCTCCTGCAATGATAAATTTTAACCTCATCAATTAATTCTAACAATATGAAAACATCGCTGACCAGGATGAGCACCACTTCCGCAAAGATATAGGCCTTTTATTGGAGTTGTATAGTTGCTATATCGAGAGACTGGACGAGTGAAGTACAACTGATCTAACGACATTGATCCGTGAAAGATATTCTAAAAGTTCGAGAATTTCAAATGAAAATTATTCACTTTGCCTTTTTTTCCATAAATAAACCAACTAACTCCTCCTGTGAGTCCAAAGATTTTTTCAATATCTGGTGGAGGCAGAACTTCGTACCCGATAACTGATGAGGAGAAGTTCGGAGCATAAGCGTCTATCTCGCTGAATACTGAACAAACAGCTTTTTGTTTACATTTGTAATTCTTCCTGGTATCAAGTTTTGAACATAACAGGGTAAAACCCAAAATATGCTCTTTTGGGATTGGAATTATCCTAATGATCTCTTACAACAACTCTGCAAAATAGTATTACTATTTTTCTCTAAAGCTTCATTCAGATCTGTGTGATCTGAGAAAAGAAGGTATGTTATGACAACGATGCGTTACAGCAACTTCACCAGCAGTCGAAAGGCTTATTTCTTTTACCGCTCTTTGAATGTTTCACCTAGGGAGTTGCCTGAACGCCAAGCGAGCCCCATCAAAGGACGGAAGACTCTTAAGTAGTGCTCTGAAGTCCCTATTGATATGCACAATAACTGAAGTGTTAAGAATTTGAAGTATGAGAATCGTAAGCTTCGCTTTCAACATTTACCATGGGTCAAGTCACTAAAAATGATGAAGAATATCTTCTACTTTTATGTTAAGAAACTTAAGATTAACTTTTTTTT